ATGTTGCCTCGAAAGGTTACGAAGCAGCGTATGGCGTACGCAGAGGACGGGGTACGTTATCTGCCGGTTATGTTCGAAATCTTGCACGGATGGTTCTTAACGTTGATATGTGCAGACGGAGTTGGGTCTCGAGGAGTACACGGACTACATATTCCCCGACGACGAACAGGCCCAGTCGCACCTCAAGCTGCTGCAAGCTGCGCAGCTCTGGAAGCAGAAGAAGCGCGCACGCGAAGAGGTCGCAGAGGAAGCCACAGACTAACGTTAGGTTGCTGGCAAATTTATCAAACGGTTATGTCACTTCAACGTGTTTTTTGCCGGTGTCTCATCAGCTACTACCTTTCATTTTTGCTAACGAATTTCAAAGGATAAGTACCTTTTACCCACCTCATCTTGAGTACTGTGTCATCTACCAGAGGCCCACAAGTGATAAAAGCATGCCTCTTCCTCTGCTATCAATGCTATCTACAGGACGCTGTACACGCCTCCTGCTTTCGTGCGCAGGTTCTTCTCGTAGACCTGCGTCTTGTCTCGTTCTCGGTCCAAGTATCAGCTCCAGATTCGCTTCGACGGCTCCACCTCGCCACATTTTCGGTGACCCCTCTGTGGGTATTGGCTGTCTGCCTTTAGCACCGGAGGAGACACAGGCGGAGCGTGAGCTGCTCAACTCGCTGCCAGAGTTTCAGGAGGCTGCGCAGGTTCTACTAGGTCAGGGCAGCGATGAAGCGCGGCTGTTGCCCAACCACCTGCGCGCCGAGAAGGCTCTGCCCAAGCTCCAGCGCACAGTGGAGATCTGTCGCTCGACGATGGGCTTCCAGAGTGTGTATCTACAAGCAGCACTGCGTCATCTAGTGTCCACGCTCTTCATGAAGGGCGACGTGGCTGAGGCTACGAAGGTCATGCAGGAACGTGGCGACGTCATGCAGTGGCCAATGGCCGAACACGAGCGAATGTTGCGTCTGCTACTGCGCTCGAATCTGCCTAACGAGGCGAAAGCTTGGTGCAAGAAAGAAGAGTTCACTAAGCAGTTCCCTCGCGACGCAACGGTGCCGCTCAAGTGGACGCTGTACGAGCTCATTGGCACCGAGTTAAGTGGAGGTGCCGAACAACTGGCCAAAGCCGTTGACGACCCGCTATTCGTCCAAGCTGTGGAGACGCTGCGAGAGAAGAAGGATGTGGTATTGAAGCACGAAGAAGCCAGCAACTTGAAAGCCAACGAAGTGCAGCTAGGGCGAGAGATTCCCTACTTGTTAGCTCAGTACGCGTCGCTGTCTGTGGCCAGCTCGCGAGCGCTAGAGAGGGATCCGAAGGCGGACCTTAAGGCCTCCCCAACGGACCAACAACTAGTGAGTCTAAACCAGGCTGAAGTGCTGTATAAGGAAGCACTGGAGTGGGTCGAGAAGATTGCAGCTGAAGAAGGCAAGGACGCGCTGCTGGCGTCAGGACCCAACGCCCCCTTCGGAGCTTGGGTCGAGACGAACATTGGCGAGTTGCTGCTGCGCAAAAACAAGCCTGAAGAAGCGATGGAGTGGCTCGGCAAGGCTCTGAGTACACTGCAGGCCGAACACACTGGCGTTGGAGGCAGCGCTCTTGCTATGACTCGCGTACTTGGCCAGATCGCGAGAGGTAGCCATGTCATGGGCCAAGCTGTGACGAGTGAAGGGCTGTTTGTTACAGTGGTCGAGACGTTTGAGCGCGAGTCAAAGCTTTGTGCCACCGATCGTGTCGAGTTTGCGCGTGTGTTGCGTGCTTATGGCGATCTGCTGTCCAATTGGGACAAGCGCGAAGCTGGAGCTGCGAAACGCTATGCGCAGGCCGAGAAAGTGGAGCACGAGCTGGCAGAAATGTGCAAGGCAAACCAGAGCACCGTCGCGTTGCACCCCATTTTTTATTTGCCGCTGTAAGACGAAGTTGGAATGTGACGTCGGCAGTTTGAGCCGCAGTAAGGAGCTGTCGATGCTGCCCACAGAGTGGAAATGAACTCGGACGTTGAACACTTACTGACAATCTGTAGCTTTGTATCGACAATACTGTAGTTCCTCAGTCCATGTCGACGGCAACGTAGTCGTGACGGTATGGGGGACTCTGAGCGTGTCGACGCGTTGGCTGCACGCCACTTTGAATAACTCGCTCGACTCCTGCCAGTGTAATTGCACACAATAAAAACAAGAACGAGACGCCCATCTAACAAACATTAACAGTTAGACAATGAACACGTTGCCCACAATTGGAACTGATCACGTACCAATAACAGCCATGGCATGACGATGTCAAAACTTGACATTCTCCTGCCTTCTAAGCGAGTTGATAGCAAGAAAAGTGGCGCGACCAACATGAAGATGACGCCCCCTGTAAGCACGGCATCTACTAGTCGATGGGCTGACGTCGAGCTGATGTATTTCTTGATCGGGTACCAGAAGAGGTAGGGCACAAGGATCCACACAGGAGACATGACACGCCACCAGGTAGTACCGTTTAAACTACCGTCAACCTTCATCCCAATCAACAACGCCTGGACGATACGCAGCAACGTTAACGCTGTTTTGCGCGTCACTGCCTTCACCAATAGCTGTCGTTCTGTCTCGATTTCTTCCGTCTGAGAAACACAAGCGCCAACACTGTCGCTCACGAGCATTTGATGCCCCAATACGCCGCCAATAACCACCTCCAACAAGTTAAGAACATCGCACGTAAAGTAGGGTGTCAACACGGCCAGAAGACTCCAGTGCACGACTCCATCCAGCTTCATCACGATGAATATTTGCACCACCAAGAGCAACAATTGCTTACTGAACGTATACAGCTTGCCACTAGAGAACACGAGCGCGAACACCACACTTCCATAATAAATAACGTCGAGAATCCATAACGGAGTGAGCACTACCGCCCAGGTGCTCGAGATCAAATTATCCACACGAAGACAGCACAGAACTACAGTAAAAACGTTAGCAGCAGTTGTTGCGTACTCAAACGCAATACTATACTCACTGGGGATCGCTAATACGAAGAAGAAGTGGATTGTTGCAAGCAGTAAAGAGAGGCACCGACCGCGAAAGCCGAAGCCTTTCACGGTCTCATAGACGTCCTTCAATACCGCCAAACATGTCATTACAATGAGGTTATTTAGGAAATTTATGTAGGGAGACGCGCACCTCGATGCTCCATCCCTGGAAGCTCATGCTGAATGACGAGAAGAGGTTCCGGCGTCGGGAGCTCCACCACGTCAGTAAATTATGGGTTTGAGTCAAGTCAGTAAATTACGGGTTTGGGTCAAACCGCTTGACCACCATAGGGGAAATCAGTGAAACCTGATTGGCCAGCCTGGCCAACGGTTCCGAAACACTACGTATTTTAATACTTTTAAAATTGTAATACTGTACAAAGCTACTGCATCAAAAGGCTTTTGCTACATGTATTCACAGTTCTTTTTGAACAACTATTAGTGGTTCTCACAACAGCCAATCACATCAAACCTTCCTGTCCTGTTTTTTCAACTAAAACCTACAAGTACTCGGGAAAACTCGGTAGGTTTGGCCAAGAAGTAAAGGTATAATGTTATTGGTGCAAACGACTAGGAGAAGGTTTGATTTGATTGGTTGTGGCACAACAACATCGCGACCACCAACTTTAGTATTTCATTCTGCCAAAATGGTTAACAAAAGGTGGAGTGCTGAGGAAGAATATGCTCTTCTCGATTACCTGTCTACACATTTAGATGAGTACACGAAAGGAGTCAAGTCGAAGTTCTACGAAGCTGCTCTTACAGTGCTCCCGCAGAAGTCAGCAACGCAAGTTAAGACCAAATGCACGGACCTCGAAAGCACCAACAAAAGTTACAAGACTAAACTCAGTCGCTCTGGCTTTGGTTTGAAAACTACTGATCCTACGTCTATCAAAGGTGTGTTTGCTTGATATGCTTTTTTTGTTTTATTGGACGATTAATGTTACTACATCGACAGACATGCTACTCAAGAAATGCAAGTACTTCTATGAGATGGACGAAATCTTTGGTTCGAGACACAACATGGTCCCTCCGTTTGTGCTAGAGCCGAATGCTGCTGTGCTGAATGGACAGGTTTACACTAGGTCCAACACTACCGTCACGACGCAGACACCAGCAATGGTCAGCACCCCCACCGTCAGCACCTCCCCGTCCCCAGCAGTGGCCATTGCCAGCATTGTCAGCAGCCCGCCGACGCCAGCAGCAGCAGCAGTCATCAGCACACCAGCAGCAGCTGATAGCAGTACGCCGGCACTAGCACCAGGAGAGAGTATGAATGTGTCGGAATACTTTCCTGCCAACAGCTTGCTTACCATACGGTCGCCAACGGCTAAGATAAGCAGCAAGCGTGTCTATAACGATTCGCCGGGATCGTCTATCGCTAAGCTCCTTGCCCAGATTCGTGACGAGCGTGACACGACCCGAGCAGAACGCCACAACGAGGAAATGTTGATGCGTAGAGAAGAGCTGGAACTGAAAAGGCACCAGTTCGAGGCATACAAACTTGAGTTGAAACTTAAGGAACAGAAGATGGAACGCATGTTTTCAGTTATGACGCAGAAGTTGGACTTGCAAGCCAAGAAGATGGAGATTGAGTTGCTGAAGTTGCGTACTACTTCTACGCAAGATGAATAAAAAACGTTTTTGTTTTAGTTTTGTTTTCTATTGCTCTTCAGTTAGCCTAAGTGAAAACCTCTCGAACGCAGGACAATTTCTTGTATGCATGTACGCAGATCTTCACTGTCCTCATTGAACCAATCCACTGCTGATGTGCTATCCTCTTGCTGAGTATTGTATTGATCCCTCGGTACCTCGAAGCTGTCCGAACTATCGATGCACAAGTTATGAAGTATAAAGCAGGAAACGATTTTGCTGCAGACCTTCATGATATCGTCTTCATCGACAATTCTGTCTCGGATTCCATCGAGAACAGGAAACCGAGCCTTCAATATCCGGATGGTGTGCTCAATTATAATGCGCTGTTGCGCCAAAAGCCAATTGAACGTCTTGTTTCGCGGTAGTGTGCTAGCTGGCATTTTATATGGGGTCAAAATGAATGGGAAGCAGCACGAATACGCTGTGTCGCCGAGAAGATATTGACCAGCGTCAAAATATGCAGCTGGCTGCTCAGCCATAACCGTCAAACTCATTGCCCGTTTATCATGCAAAGACCCTGGCTGGCCGACCTGTATCAAGTAGAACTAGCATTAGCGTAGTACCAAATGCAATGAGTCTTGCACCTTACCTGATAGTATGTAATACGGCGGCGGTGATCGCATACAATTTGAGCACCAATGCAGTAGACTGACTTTCGGGAATAGTAACACTCGGGGTCAACAGAGGGAGCGCTACTCAGCTTAAACGTTGTGCCGTCTACACACCCAACGCAGGATAGGAACCCTGAACGCGTCTCAAACGTTTGTGCTATTAAAACCCGTTCCTTCTTGCTCGGCCAGCGAAGAAACCCCGGCTCAATGGAAAGAATTGCACTAGTCACTCGGACCCTGAATTTATAAACAGAACCTTTTGGACACACCACCGTAATAGAATAGCTAGCAATGCCAAAAGACGTCTGTAGCTGTAAGCTTACCTTCCCCAATGCCAAAATGCTGCGCAATGCGATGGATCGTCAAGTCCTGCAGCGCGAAGAGAAAAACCTCCAGCTGAAGTTGGACAGGAGCTTGTTGCTGCTTGCCGGGTACTCGAGCGAAGGCAGTGTGGGCCTCGATGCGTCCCAGCAAAAACACGAAGGTCTGTTTGCTCATGCGTAGGTCGCGGCGGCATCAAGCAAATAAATCCGTTCAGGGCTCCATTTCCCAATTTTGACGACGTCTGGACGACCCAGGTAGCGGTGGGAGACTATCGCGCAGTAGAACATATCGTCATCGTTTTCGTCGCTCTCGCTTCCCTAGTCACAAAGCTGATAGCTTAGAGCCGAGTGCTGTAGGTGCAGCAGCAGCGCTGCTCGTAGAGATCGCCCCATTCTCACCTTCAGCGCTCACTTACCAATGAAGTCACTGGCTGCGACTGTCAGTAGCCCCTGCACACGCTGCTCACAGCTGAACAATGAAGGTTTGATTTGATTGGCTTACGAAACCTTCGTACCTTCTAACCGTGAGAACCACTAAAAAGTACGCAAATCCTGCATTAAATGCAGCAACTTCACTCACTTGTACGCAAATCCTGCATTAAATGCAGCAACTTCACTCACTTGTGGCTCTTGGGATCCGTCAAGCTCGCCACGACTTCGGCAACGGAAGCTCGCAGCACATTGTTTGGTATTAGTTCCATCGGGGTTTGGCCTTCTCGGTCTTCAGCAGTGAGGTTGGCGCCGTGCTTCAATAGTTTTTCCCACATAACTGGGTACATCGCTAAGCGTGCAGCTTGATGCAGCGGTGTATCACCGAAGCGATTGCGCAGATTCACATCTGCACCAGTTGCTAGCAGAAGATCCACGAGGTCGAAGTCGTAGCGACGCATAGCGCAATGCAGTGGCGTAGCTGTCGCTGTGTTCGCAGCGTTCACATCGGCGCCAAATTCAATCAACAGCTTGGCCATTTGCAGCTGCACAGACTCCTCCTCCTCTTCGCTGTCACTAACGTTCTCATCCATATCCGACGACGACATCGCGGCAAGTAGCAACAGTGCTGTATTACCCTGAAAATCCCTCGCATCAGCATCAGCCTGTCCCTCTTCCAGCAGCAGCTTGGCCATCCTGAATTTTGCCTTGCTCACCGCCATGTGCAGCGGCGTCGTGAGTCTCCTATTGCTCAGATTTGCATCCGCTCCCATCTCAAACAACACTTTGGCAACTTCCACTTGACCACCGTCTGCTGCGTAATGCAGCGCCGTGTTAAAAAGTGAATCTCCGACGTTCACGTCTTCCCTCACACTGGAGGCATTGAGCACCTCCAGCACATTCATAGCGCGGTATTTCGCTGCAATGTGCAACAACGTGCTGCCCACTGGGTCCGTTCCAGATGCGTCAGCTCCATGCGCTAGGAGAACTTTAAGCATTTCTGCCTCATCAGCCCGAGCGGCGTCAAACAGCGGCTTCTCGCTGTGACGCACGTCCGAGTTCAAGTCGGGCTCATAGCTCAGCACGAAGCCCAATACCGACAGCTGATGACTGCGCAGAGCTGCTGATAATAGTCGTCTCCAAAAGAGCTCCGAGATGTGCTGGGCGCCCTGAGGTTGGCTCAAAAGGGCGGATAGCAGCAGCTCCGCCACTTCCACATGGCCATGCTCTAGCGCCTGTTC